GTGGATGTAGTAAGAAAGGTTAGTAAGAATGTGTTGTTTTGAAGTTAGGAATATTGTTTGTATGTTTCGGTCAGTGCTTGTTGCTAGCTAAGTTTAAAATTAAGACAAATAAAGACCGTCCTTTTCCCCATCCCCCTTTTTTTAGGCCTTGTGCCACATTTTCTGTATTTTTCACAGAAATAAATATCGTAATGGTTAGCAGGCTGTTTTCGTTAAAAACAGTTACATACTGAATAGTGAGTTCGATCCTGGCTGGGTACTCCATACTTTCAGCTATCTAAGCCACGCTTAGAAAATCAACACTTAATTTTATCAGCCAGTTAATTTTATTAAGAGTCCATCCAATATAAGGCTTGAGAGCTACTCATTACGCAGAGTATTACTGAATGACGTGTGTGATATGTATATAAGAGGAGGTGGTAGGAAGTGAAGATTATGGGATATGGCGGATAGATAATGATTTATCTTTGATTTATGAAGCTTTAGATAAGACTAGTGAAGCTCATACTATTCCAATGGACATCTTGAAAGCATTCGACAGAGTTTGGTATATACCGGTTTTCTTCAGGAATTGAAAAGATATAGTTTCTCCGGACGGAAATCGAACTGATTCAGGCTTTCTTATCAAATCGTGAAATGAAAGTTACCCTTAACGGCCACTCTTCTAGATCCTTTTGTACTAACGCAGATGTGCCCCAGGGCCCAATCCCTGATCCTACTTTCTTCTTAATTTTCATTAACAACCTTCCTGGTGGTATCAGCTATCAACTTGGTACCGATGCTGATGACACCACCATTTACTCCAGTCTCGACAGTATGTCTGATCAGTTCGATAAGATCAAATTGGAGGTTGATCTAAAAAAATGACCTTCAGTCTGTTGTTAACTAGGACAAAGAATGGCTTCAGAGCACTGGTAAAAATGGTTGCTGAAGACAATAGGTTTATAATACCCAGAAATTCATACAATTCAAGGACACATGGCACAGTGGATAAAGGCGTTGGTTAGATCCAGTGGCAGGACCCAAAGAGTGTGAGTTCAATACCCTGTTAAGGCAGTGGAGAACTTTAACTGATAACTGACATCCAAACATAGCACGGGGAACTAGAACAGTCTACCTCAGTGAGCGAAATAAAGGGTTCAGTTCGACATTCCAACCACCTGAAGAAGGCCGGAGCGTATAACGACCGAAACGTTGTGATAAATATGGCGACAAAGATTAGGACAATAGTCTGAATAATGTAAATAATGTAAAGAATGGCTTATTAATTTCAACGCTTCCAAAACAAAACTGCTCTCTTTTTATCATCTGATAAACCCTTCTCTGCCTTCCATCAACATTCAGGAGAGTGACTCACTGCGCTTCCTCGGGCTAACATTCTTGGCTGACATGAAGTGGAAAGACTATATTGAATCCATTACTAGGACTACTGCTAAGAAAGTTGAATTACTGCGTCGTGCTAGGCAATTTTTCTCTCCAGAACCTATCTTGCATATCGATAAGTCTACCATTCGTCCATGCTTTGAATATTGCTGCCACATATGGTCAGGTGATCCAAAGAAGAATCAGCAATATTACTGATCCTGACCTGACGTCTCGGCTTCAATCACCTTCTCACCGCCATAAAGTTGCCTCCCTCTGCCTTTTCTATAAATACTTTCATAGTAACTGTTCGAATGAGTCTTTTGCTATGATACCTAGACTTTATGAATTTAAGCGCTGCATTAGATTGGCAACAAGGTCTTACAATTGAATTGGCTAGATGTAACCTTAAGTTCTATGCTAACAGTTTCTTTCTCGCACTTCTCGCTTGTGGGACGCTTCCGGCTCCATCCTTTCCAGGCAACTTTGATCTTCAAAAATTTAAATGCAATGTCTATCGTTATCTACTGTCTTCTTGATCACTCTTCTAGTGTTCTCACTCCTTGATAATGTTTTTGTTTTCTAATTCTTTCATATTCAGTCACTTCATGTGTCTTAGTGGCTTTATTGCTTTGTTTGGGGGTGAATTCGATAAAAAAAGTCAAACGTCTCAAAGTGATCGCAACAATTACTATTAATTCGTTTACATTGTTTATAACAATGAATTTATAATAATATATGTAAATTGCCCAAAATTTGAATATATTTTCTTTAATATTCTTCTTCTTTTATGTGCCATGTCCCTTCAGGACGTAGACTGTCATGGCTCTCCACCACCTCCTGTCTCTTGTAGCTCTCAATAAGCTTTGATCTTTGTTATTTCTCCTAAACCCTGTTCTGCCATCCACTTGCTTAAGCCCATTAAGTATGCCACGCGTTTTTTCTTCTATCCGCCCTGTGAGTATCAGATTTTTCAAGCCCACTTTTCTCATTACATGTCCCAGAAATTTCAGCTGCCTCTTAAATGTTAAATATGAGTTTCCTTTTTGTTTGCATCTTCTCCAAAACATCATCGTTGCTCACATGTTTGGTCTGTGGTATCCTTAGCATCCTTCTGTAGAACCACACCTCTGTTGCATCGAGCTTCTTCATCTTTGAGGAGACCGTCCAACATTCACTGTCGTAAAGGAGGATAGATATCACGTAGCAGTTCAGTACTCTTTTCTTTGTTACCAGCAAAACCCTCCTGTTTCGAATACTCTGTCTAACTTTTGGAATGCGTTTTTAGCCATTACCAATACGTGTCTTCGGATCTCAACGTCGCACTTTCCATCCTCTATCAGAACACTTCCCAGATATTTAAATTCCCGCATTGATTTTAGTGTTCTTGACCTGTAAATCACATTTCGGTCTCATCTTTTTGCTGATGACCATTCATCCTGTCTTCTTGTAGTTTATGTTTAGTCCCTTCGTCTCGCTCACTTTCGCTACCTTGTAAGTGATCACAATATGCAACTCTATCACTACTACTACTACTACTACTACAACAACTACTACTACTAATTCCTTAATAAAGTTAGTTAAATTCTTCTAATTCCTTAATAAATTTAGGTAAATTCAACTAATTCTCTAATAAAGTTAGGTAAATTCTACTAATTCCTTAATAAAGTTAGGTAAATTCTACTAATTCTTTAATATAGTTAGGTAAATTCTTAATAAAGTTAGGTGAATTCTACTAATTCCTTAATAAAGTTAGGTAAGTTCTTAATAAAGTTAGGTAAATTTAACTAATAACAAAGTTAGATAAATTCTACTAATTCCTTAATAACGCTAGGTAAATTCTTAATAAAGTTAGGTGAATTCTACTAATTCCTTAATAAAGTTAGGTAAATTCTTAATAAAGTTAGGTAAATTTAACTAATAACAAAGTTAGGTAAATTCTACTAATTCCTTAATAACGCTAGGTAAATTCTTAAAGTTAGGTGAATTCTACTAATTCCTTAATAAAGTTAGGTAAATTCTTAATAATGTTAGGTAAATTCTACTAATTCCTTAATAAAGTTAGGTAAATTCTTTGAATTTTTATATCCTTCGCTTAATGTTATCAATAATTTATCTCGAACACCCTGTTCCAAAGTGACCACAGGAAGCGCCACTATTACTGACAATTATTATATACAGTCGCCTATAACAATGGATGTATTACTATAAATATAAACTGTTTCAATGTTTATATCCATTGCGTAATGTTTTTAGCCGTTGATTGTTATCTAAAAGATCCTGTCAGAAAATGATCACATTAAGCGACTTCCTCTGGGTTACAGCTACATACTATTAATAATTCATTTATAAAAAATAGTTTAAAGAATAAATTGAAATAATTTCAATTTTATATGCGTGCTTAATTTTATTAACCGGTTATTGTTATCTGAAACACCCTGTCCCAAAATGATTGCGTTAAGCGACTACAGTTACAACTACGTTTAATTCATTTATAAAAGTATTTATAACAATTAATTTAAAGAATAAATGAAAATAACTTCAATTTTTATATGGATGTCTAATGTTATCAACCAGTTATTGTTATCTAAGACATCCTGTCCCAAAATGATTACAATAAGTTGTTCCACTGAACGACTACTACTACTAATTCAATTATAATGCAAAAATTCTTAATAACAATGACTTTATACCAATAATGTAAACTGTTGCAATTTTGTACACTTTTCTCAATGTCGTCAGCCGGTAATTGTTATCTAAAAACTCTGTCACAATGTGATCACAATAAGCGGTTTCTTTTGTATATTATTAGGTCACACCATGAGTTATGTCCGAATTTAATACCAGAAAAATTATTTAAAATTCCCGTCTAATTAGAATTTATCAATTAACACAAGTTCTATTATCTTCAACCGCCTTTTCGCAACGATTCACTCCCTTTATAATATCGATTTACAAAAAAGTTCTTTAGCTCGGATTGCGGTTGATTCATTTTCTACGGTTTGTAGGTTATTTAAAGCCAGAAAATATTTTTAGATTGTAAGAATATTTTTTGAAATTATAATTGTTTACTGATACAAGTCTTACTAATTAGTCCATAGCTGTGGAAGTAGAGATAGATCGATACCATTTCCCAAGGATATTTACGCGTAAGTGAATATAACGAACCCAACTGGAATTGGAACTCTGCTCTCCGATTAACAATTCCGAGCCATTATCCATTAAACCACTCGCACATCCAAGCTTATAACACCTGGTATTCCTAAGCAGTAACTCATCTAAGTACTGGTCAGTTTGAACGATTCCAGCCAAAATTCTTCTCAATTAGTATCAGTAAAATGAACATATCTCAATTTTTCAGTTTTTTTTTTCTTTCCTAGAACGGAAGATTCGTTGGTGGTTTTTGTTTCATGGTATATCAACCTCTATAGGCCATTTAATGCCAAATCTAAATATTTTTATTTTATATTAATTTTTTTTTAAATTTTTTTTTTTAGATATAATGGTTTTAATGATACAAGTTTTACTAATTAACCCGTAGATGGAGAGAGGAAATGTGGAGTCATACCTTTCACAAGTGTATATAACGAATCCAATATTTCCAAACTATTATTCATTACACCATCTGCATATCTAAGCTTACAGCACATTGTATTCCCAAGCGGTAACCCATCCAGGTACTGACCAGCAATAAGTTGCTTAACTTGAATGATCGTACGGGAACCGGTGTTTCAACGTGATGCGGCCGTTAGCCATTTTACTTTGAAGGAAAAATGCACTCGGTAGCTTTCACATCTTCATATATTTTAATAACCAGTTCCTTAAGATGGTTGCTGTAAACCCCTGAAGAGGTCGTAATCAGATGGAGCAAGAACTGGACAAAAAAAAAAAAAAAAAGAGGGTGTGAATATTTTTTCCCAGCCAATCGTTTTAGATATAATCTTTACTGTATGCCTCCGTGCTTTATCGTGTCGTGACATCAAAACGGCTCACTTGATCAATATGAGTCTCTTTTCCTTCAAAGCAGTGCTGACGATAGATGCTTGCTGTAATTGTAACAATGAATGGGAGCAATTCAAAGTAGACCACACCAACGCAATTCCAGTAAGCGCTTACCAATACTTTCCTTGGATGGATATCTATTTTAGGTTGTGCCTTATCCAGTTCGGCGCCACTAAACAATTTGTCTGTGTGCAGAAGTTTATTCTTGATTCACATTTGGTGTTTTTCTAATCATTTTTCGAAAATGTAGGTCTCTATGATATGATGAATTCAGTTATGAAATTTAATTCTTGAACCCTGAGAGCACTATTTGCTTTGTATCCTGAAAAAAGCGCGTCATCATTAAACACGACGTGTGTGTGGAGCATTTCTTAAGATAACGTCACTTTCTTCTAAACCTTTTCAATCCATCTTCGGAAAATTCTTTCGCTTAAAATAATCATCATCTAAACGCCATAAATATTCCGTTTTTTTTCTGTAAAATTATTGTCTTATCCAAACTCATAAAGCGTTACCTGTATTTGTCTTTTAAGCACCCTAGTTGATAACTACGCTAACTGAATTGTACTGTGACGATGTAACTTACTCTAACTTACCCTACACAAATGTATTACTGTTTAGACATTTTTGTTACAAATCGGTATCACCCGATGCAAGGCAGTAAAGCCACTAAGACGTAAGGGTTAAGTATCGAAACATTAATAATGAGCATGAAAAGAAAAGTGTAATCAGGAGGACAGTAGATAGCGATTGATATTGCATTTAAATTCTTGCAGATTAAAGTTGGCTGGAAATCATGGAACTGGAAGCGAGAAATGCAAGAAAAGAAACTGTTAGCATAAAATTTACGGCTACAACTAGGCAGCTCAACTTTAAACTGGTGAGGTCTCGACGTCAGTCTAGTACTGCGCTTAAATTTAAAAAAAAAATCTAGGTAGCATAGCGAAGAGCTCATCCGAACAATTACTATGATAGTATTTATAGAAAAGATACAGGGAGGCAACCTTATTTTAACGAAATATTTATTCTATCTCTACCCGATTTTGGATATCACTTATAGAATGACGTCATATAATTAATTAATCATGTGCACTTTTGAATGTGTACGTGTGCACCTTGCGTAGTGGTCATCGCCACAGAAAGTGTCATTGGCGTGTCAAGTTCAAATTCCAGTTGAATTCGTTGCGTTTGCTCATGCGCACATGCTCTTTGGAAAGGTATGACGCCATGTTTTCTTCTTCCAGCTAGTGGTTAATAACAGTTCAGACTAGTCTCTGTCGCCATAATTGTTAATCAGTCTAGGAGAAGGACAATTCTGAATTGGAAATCGATTAGTTGTGAGGTTAGCAATGCCATTCCTCATAAAAACCACAGGAGCAATACCTGCCGTAGTGAGTCGGTGGCCCTACGCTCCACGGTGGAGCCTATAGGATTAACATAACATATGCGCATAGGATTGCATATCTATACCACTTTGTAGGCAAGTTTTTTTTTCAGCAGTAATACGAGATGTCCGTAATTTCACAGAATTTGATTATTAAAGGTCAATCTGTTGAAATATCAAGTTATCCACGCTTTACTTGCACTGTTGAACATTTTAAACGTTTCTCGAATCGCACCAGAAGGAGATAAAGCTCCTTGTTTTATACGATTTTCTTTTTGATTTATAAAAACCATTTCGCTCCTTGAATTCCCATAAACCTTTGTATAGTACCGCATATATGTCTTCACCACCACCACCACCGCCACTACCATCATCATCATCATCATCAGGTAAAAAGCGCTGTTAAATACAGGCCTTCTCCGAAGGTTAAGGAGTCCAATATATCTTGCTATTTCCCTATAGCTAGGTAGTCGGGTGAAAAAATGACTTCATTCGTTTTCAAAGGGCATTAAATGCAAAGGAAGTGAACACCGAATTGTCTGAGCCGGCGGTTGAACTCGGCTTATCGAATTAATTTTCCGCTCTGTTGGTCTTGAGGCCACCCGCGTTATCTACATATACAGTACCGCGCAAAAGCCCTCGCCCATTTTAAAGTGTTGTAAATTTCTAATAAGTGCATAGTTCGCATCGCGATTTCTACAGATAAATCTTTGACCCTATTGGAGTCATTTACATGCCTAATCATTATATTTTGCAGCGGGGATTCTGAATGAGATGGGAAAATACAAGAACACCCCCACCCCCGCAAAATGACAGTGCAAATGTTTTCGGCCACCCGAAGTTAAGCAACGTTGAGCCTGGTCAGTACCTAGATGGATTACCGTTTAGGAATGTCAGGTGCTATAAGGTTAGATGTGCGGGTAGTGTAATGGCTAGGAATTGTCAATCGGTGAGCCGAGTTCCAATCCCAGTTGTGTCCGTTATATTCACTTACGCACAAATACCATTTGGAAAGGTATGAATCCATCTCTTCTTCCCCCAGCTATGGGTTAATTAGTAAGACTTATATCACTAAAACCATTATTATCTCCCCACCCCCCCCTAAAAAAATGCGTACAAAATCTTTAGATTTCGGCATTAAATAACCCATAGAGGTGTTGATATGCCACTAAACATTAACCAACCAACCAACATTGTTAATATTTTGTCAACTTACCTCAATTTGAATAATAATGAGTAAATAACCCTGAACAGGGATATCTACAAATCCTTCACCATATTCAAAATTGCTATTTACTGACGCTGAGCTCCCACACCTTTTCTAGATTGTATGGATTCTTATGACGAGATCTTTAGTTCTGTCCACGTTTGTTTGATAATATTTAAACCAGGCCTCTGAGCTAGCCTTTCAATTTGGTAACACCTTCATCAGCCAGACTGTTGTGTTACACATGATCTTCGGCATAGGACTATCAGGCTGAAAGATCTTGCCGTCAACGAAACTTGATATGAAATAGACCTTCAGCACCTTACCGCATTTGATACTATTCAATCTTCTGTCACTTGTGATAAACTTTCTTGAGACACCATTTTTTTATGTATCCCCCTAGCAGCTCTTAACCCCAAAACTATAATATTTTCCTCGTGTATCATTTTGCTTTTAGCAGGCCTTCTGAAAAATCCTCAGAATGAAGCTTCATTCTCGTTCCATCGCTAGATGTGATCTTATTCCAAAGGTATGTAATAAATAGCTAATGTTTATTTAACCAACAATGTTGCTTTTAAATGCTTTTGTTTAATTGTTGGTTTATCTACTGAAATACACCCCCTGAGCCCAAGTTCTCAAGGGTTTTATTTAACACTAACTACCGATACCAAATTGGACAAATCACACTCTTCATTACATGTTTTACAGGTTTCATTGGTTGAGTTTCAACTTCTCCTTAACAGTTTCCATAGCATCTTATGCAGTAGCCTTCAAGGGCAAACATATCTTGGTTGACTCAAAACACCCTCAGTGCCTTGACACTTCAGGAAGATTTTTGAAATGTTGTTTCTTGAATAGGAGATCCGTCAGATCTGCACTTGAAAAGGACCTCCAATCAGTGGTTAACTGGGACAAGAAATGGCATGTAAATTTTAACGCCTCCAAATCAAAACTGCATTCATTTAGCTACCACAGAGAACCTTTTCTGCCTGTCATCAACGTGGCTGACGATCGCTAGACTAATTACGTCTGAATAGTGAGTTCAATCCTCGCTGGGTACTCCATACTTTCGGCCTTGTACCACATCTAAGCTACACATAGAAAACCACCATCAATATGGCTGTCGCTAGGCCCCAGGAGAGCAACACACTACGCTTTCATGTTTTTCTCTCTATATCTTTCTATCTCTCTCTCTCTCTTTCTCTCTGTCTACATGTATATATTATAAATATACAAATGCAATATGTACTCTCACTTACGAACACTATTTTAACATTCGTTGTATGCTACGCACACACGCACGAAGGTACACGGAAGCACGTAAACGCAAAGGCACGGGCTCACACAGACGCAACAATATATGTTAACCTTTACTTCATTAATTGCACACGCACATACGATGTTTCTTTAACAAACAGGAATGCAAAAATGCGCACTTTTTATTATTATTCTTTTATTCTTTCTTCTTTCCGTTATTTGTTTTTTTTTTTTTTGCCTGGACGCCTCTGTTTATCACTCGCTTGGAATTATCGTTATCATAGAATGAGTCTCATGATTTAGGTAGGTGATGATAAAAAAGAATGAAATTTTGCTTGTGATGGAAAAGAGGTACAAGAAATGCAATGGTGTCAGTTGAATAGGAAACAAAAATAGAAGGAAAGACGATAAAAATGGGGATAAGTATTTGAGGGAAATAATGATTCGTTGCGACAATAAGAATTGTAGATATTACGACGAAATTGGCTAAGAAACGCCCTTACATGTAGGCATTGCTTTATCTGGCAGATCGCCAATAGTAGTCGGGTATCTATCGATTGAACTATTTTATATAAACAGTTCAAGAAACCCCTTCCGTTGATATAGGAATACGCAGAGATCAATAGGTTCTTATATCTTCATACAAGCTTCAACGGAAGGGATTTCTTGAACTGTTTATATAAAATAGTTCAATCGAGCTTTTTTAATATTTTAATATTTTGAAATCATCTTCGAATACGTTTTCACAACATCATCCACGTGACGACGACGTGATCATATTTAAACGGAACGCTGATCTTATATAAAAATTTCAGTTATCTGTTTGGATTAGTTGTGCTCTTATGTCCATCGTCTTTTTCATGTTGAATTTTATATATTCTAATGTTAATTATGTTTA